TACCCCGACGGGCTCGCACTGTGTAGCGGTGGAAGGTCTTGTGCTCCTGCACCTGGGGGCTGCAGAGAGGGGCAGGCATAAGCAACAGGGCCCCATGCATGGAGAGCAGGTGAGCTGATCCTCCTGGGGCCCTGGATGGTTTGTGGCTCGACCCTGGGGCCCTAAAGATTAGTACTTCTCTTGCAGCGCAACTGGGCTTAGCCAACTCTCAAGCAAAGACTAGGAGCTGCGGGTGCCCAGGGTGTGGTAAGCACTGCGATGGAGGAGTAGGGAGGGGATGGCCATCCAACGCCTAGCCCCACTTGACCCTACCCAGAGGGGCAAGCCCAGCTCTATCCCCCTCTACTCACCCCCGGAACACAGCTCCGGCGAAGTGCCCGCCGCCCATCATCAGCACAACCCAGCACGTGCTCGCACTGAGGCTCTGCAGTGATGCCGTCAGCTCTGCTGGCTCCTCGCTGCCACCCTGAGACACAAACACCCCTGCTAGGACCCACGGGATCACCTTGCCACCTCTTGCTGTCCTCCAGGACACAGCCCAGCCCCTCTGCTGGTACCAGAAGCAGGTTTCTGGGAGCACCCCAGAGCCAAAAAACAGGCCACCAGCAAGCCTGGGGCTATGACCAGAGACCACCCTTCCCATCATGGGACGTGGGGGACTGTCATACGGGTGTCTACACCCCAGTGCCACCCGCCTTCTCTGGGGTCCCTCTCCCAACAAGCTGGGCTGTGACTTGCCTTCCCAGTGCCCAGCACGCAGCGGTAGGCAGAGATGAGCTGGCCCTTCGCATTGCGGAGCACCACCTTGTGGGAGCGGGGGTTCTGGAGGGTCCCGGGGCTGTCGCTGGCAGAGGGCGGCAACTCTGACTCACTGCTTGCATCGGAGCTCTCCGAATCGGACCCTGAGATGCTGGAAACATCACCTTGCAAGGGAAAGAAAATGGAGCAGTGGAGCAGGGCAAAGATTAATGCACAGCCTCCCCAAAACTTTGCAGGTGGCTCCAAGGGCCAGCCCACGGCCCCAGAATTGTCCTGTCTGATACCCTACATATCACACGGGGGCCGTGGGCCAGGGAGACAGGCGTCTGGGGCTCTGGACCCCCAGGTATGCATAGATAGGGCTCAGGCAGGACATCCCCTTCTCCCCAAGGGGAAAGTCAAGGGCTCAGAGCAAGTCAGAAGGGCTCAGGAGCAGTGCTGGACCCCCAGGAGACCCCACAGGGGCAGAATAAAGGGACCGTGAGCTGCAGGGGTAGCCAGGGGCTTCATCCCTGGACAGAACAGCCCCAGCGAGGCTGCTGATGGCCTCTGGGCTCCACTGAGGGCAGCCCCATTCCTCACCTGCGCAGATCTTCTCCTCAAACACTTCTACTGGCAGCGTCCGGAGCCCCAGGAGTCTCTGCTTCAGGTTGAAGCGGTGCCAGTCGAGATGGTAGTGCTCAGTCTGTGGAGGAAAGAGGTATGAGCTGGCAGGGTCTCGGTGGTCCACAGAAACCCCCACCACCAAAGGGCCTGAGATGACAGACTCCGAGGGCTGAACCGATGCTGGGACTCTGCATCATCCCACGTAACAGTTAACCTGAAAAGGCGCAGGCCTGTGCTGCACGTACCATTTAGCTGCATTAAATGGCATTTTAAGCAGACTAGGAGCTGCGGGTGCCCAGGGTGTGGTAAGCACTGCGATGGAGGAGTAGGGAGGGGATGGCCATCCAACGCCTAGCCCCACTTGACCCTGCCCAGAGGGGCAAGCCCAGCTCTGTCCCCCTCTACTCACCCCCGGAACACAGCTCCGGCGAAGTGCCCGCCGCCCATCATCAGCACAACCCAGCACGTGCTCGCACTGAGGCTCTGCAGTGATGCCGTCAGCTCTGCTGGCTCCTCGCTGCCACCCTGAGACACAAACACCCCTGCTCGGACCCACGGGATCACCT